TCTTCAATCTAGTTGTGGGTTGCGTAGTGTTCGTTGCTACGTGGTTCTCATCAACAAAACAACATGAACAAACATATTAAAACGCTCAAAAGTGCTCAAGAACAAGTCGAAAACTATGTTTTAAATGTCTTAGTTCAATGAGTGAATTACACTCATCACATAAACCATCTGCATCGATCCACCTCCAAGATCGATCACACCAACTGTGCTCGAGTATTTTTTGTCTGACGTCCCTAATAAGTAGTTTATAGCAACATGCAATTTCATAAATAATGTAAGAAAAACTTAAGTTGTGCAACCTCCATATATATCTATAAATGTACACTACTTAAATAGATAGCCTTCGTCTCGAACTTACCCAATGATAAGCACCTTCCTGTGATCCTTCAAGAAGAGACTCACTCTGCCTTGTACTCCATGGTGCTTTCCTTTTTAAAGAGCTCTCTGACCTTAATTTCCATAAGAGAAAAGAACTACGAGACGAGATTAACAAGCTCTCTCAATATTAATGGTAGCAAGTGTTTGAGAATTATAAACGTCAATTCTATCCCACCATAATCAATCAATTTAAAGAAAGAAAATAAACAATTAAGAACACACAAGATTTTTAAAGGTTCACCTCAATGTAAGACTAGATCTTCTACCATTGGCTGTAGACCCCACCTCACCCTATCGTTATTTGTATACCCGGTGAAATCTTACCGTGGAATTTCTGTTTCTCAAGCATCTCTCACTTCAACTGGTACTACCTTTGACCAAGATTAACCTCATCATCCTCACTTTAAAGTATGAACTTCGTCCTCCATATATATAGATTCAAAATTAACTGACATTTGCAATATATTATTCGAGACATCAGATTCATGGTTAATAGATTTCAGCGGGATTAACAATGGTTAATAGTGAAATACTCAAAAAATGAACCAAAGCTTTCTCTAGTTGAAGTAGAAGCATTTGCACCCAATACGAATTCATTCCTAGTTAAAACCATGATCCCTTTGAATTTATATCTTTATGTTTTTTCTGACCTCTAAATTTCTCTTATACTTTCAGTAAGAGATTCAAAATCTAGAGAGCGTTATAAAATGATTGTGTAATGACTTGTAATGTTTTCTGCTAAACCTGTGGTTATGCCATAAGATATTAGCAGCCTGTTGTTTTGCTCATTCTATCAAAATACTGACCCATGGAAGAAATGGTGGTGTTTAATAACATTTTTAAATTAATTGTCATAACAACATTAACATATCCACAAAGAAAATTTATTTCCAATAGAGAAGTATGCAGCATACAAAGCTTACTACCACTCCTATCCAATTACAAATTCTACATCACCAACGAAATCAGAGTACCATCCCAACCACCTTCTATTAAAGCATGCATCATTATCAAACTATTGTGGGACCATTGGAGCACCAACGGCGTCCTAATGGTACAAGATAAAATGCATTCCTTTGAACATTTGCACCCATGATTCTCAGCTCTCCACAGTTAATCAAGAAACTGCCCAAGCAGGCACAGAACCGACCGACACTCTCATGCAGTTCTGTTTGGCAAAAAACTGAGCCCCAATGATGAGAATCACTAGGGGTGTGTAAGTAAACTGGGATCTCTATACTGGACTACAAATTTATTTAAAAAGTAAGCCTCGCTGAATTTTGATGGCAAAAGAAGGAGAGCAGCAGAGGTGGCAGCCTTCAGATTAACACAGTTCAGATTTTCAACAGCCAGATCGTCCACAAGGATGTTAACCTGGAACAAAAAAGTGGTAACATATCTATTATCAGGTTAAAATTGAAGTTCAACACGCATAAGAACTTACTTTAAGAAGTTAAACATTTACTGCTTATGTATTGTTTCATCATCAATTAGCAAACAGTATGAGAATGGTACTATCAGGTAAGACATACAGGTTTCTGCAACCGGCCACCCAGGTAGAATCTCTCCCATCCTAGAATGTCCTGAATCAAATCATGCATTCGATCAACACCATATCTGAACGCCTGGAACAGTTGCTTACTGTTAAAATTCTATGTTGAATAGCAATGATGGACATCATTATGTACGATTCAATTTAAAAATGACAGATATGCAAGAGGTTTCAATAAGAATTCCTAAACTGATTTGCGCAAACATTGGCAAGTACCTTACCTTGTCATTGTGAGCAACAAATGGATTGAAGTGCACACCAACACCAATAGTATCTGCAACATTGGCAATCTGCAAGATCCAACTAGTTTCAGGTCAGTTCAGGGATAAACTAAACTTATGCAAATGAGAAAGGACAAGATGTAGTACAGCCTCGCCCCACCAAGGTGCATCATCCATGATGCATAATGATTCTGATTCATGTTAAGATTCTTGATTTCAAAAAACCAATGTCATCCATCAGTTATTATGGAATTAGCATAGAATCAGTGGAAGAAATATTTAAAATAATGGATAGCAATCCAACACACCTCAGTGTGCCATTGTTGAGGATATTGCACACCTATAATGTAATCTATCATGGAAGTCTGTAAAACCAAAACTATTTTACCCAAACATGAAAAATACCTAGAATAAAATGAAAATTTAAAAGTCCATCGTGTTGATGAAACCTTGTCAAGATTATTTGGATGGAGTATGCAGCCATATATATAGCAGAAATCGACAGGAGGTAGAATTTCCAGTAAACTTTTCAACTCAGCCCTCTTTTCACTCTCCATTTACTTCAATTTGTGCATCTCCATCTGAGTTGTAGAAAGTAAATGACACGACCCATCCCGAATCATCCTAGTGGACTCGAAACGTGATGTGCGCCAATGGTAGGTGTTGATTAGATGCCAGATCCAGATCCACCACCAAGGCTGACTATGAGTTACAACTAATGATGAGCCAAAATCAGATGCTTATGAAAAATAGAATGCAATAGGCACAAAATAACTACTTCATGCCCTACCAAAAATGAATATAACTCAATGTGCCATGCAGCTATAATTCTGAAATCATGAGGTTCCTCAAGCCATCAAAAACCAATTGCTACCTGTAAGAAAAATCGTGGGAAAATATACGAGTTGATAGCTCAGTGAGTGAATTTTTTTTAAAATAGTTATACTTTCATATTTATGCATATTTATCAAAAATCGAGTTCATATCATTTAATAATACACAGGATAACATCATACAATTATAGCAAGGAAGTGAGACATTCTCATAAAGTTGTAAAATATCATCTCATAGTCATGATATAAACATAAGCTGAAATCCATACTATAATCTCATCATATCAAATGTACTAAAAATCTACCAAAAATGTACTCTCTGACAAACATCTGTAATCTGGTCATACACGCGTGGGCTGCCCCTGGGCTAAGCACTCCCGACATGAGCCTCAAGCCCCCTCAGTGAACAGAAGTGGGTCTCAATCATAATCAATTCTATAACACCACCAATGCCCCTCAGTGAACTATATGTACATGATCAAGATCCCTCCATCCACGGTCAAAACCCCTCATTTTAGTATAGAACACGGCCAAGGCCACTCAGTGAACTAAAAGAAGTACATAATTAAGGGTACTTTTCTGGTCGATCTCAATATCNACGGATACTTTTCTGGTCGATCTCAATATCACAATGTCTCACATTCCAATTCATTAATAATCCATATACAATATCTCAGATTCCACATATATAATAGTGAGGGAAACTTTCATAACAATCATATAATTGAAGAAATAATTCACATAATCACACATAATATAAAACTATAATTAATTTATCAATATTTAGGTTTTTCCACTTACCATGTTGTAGATCGACCGCGACTTCAATCTTCTCGTCATCTCCTCACATTCAAATACAAGTATGATCTTGCACTCGTCCCAAGAAATCATATCCCTTCACAAAGGTGTCTCAAGCATGTTTCCTACTATTAAAATTAAGGATTTACTAATAAGAACTTGATGTCTTTTACTTTCAATCTCATAATCTTAATTAGGATCACTAACAACGTATACTCATTTCTATAAGTTATCTTATCACCTAACCCCAATATTTAGTGCTTGTTTGGTAGGGATTTTTTGGGGGAAGAATTGATTTTGAATAGTGATATGATGGGAAATGTGTGGTTGAAAAAGAAAAAAATTATTGATGTGATGGAAAATATTATTTTATTGANAGTCTCCCCTGAAACAGTAGAGGGAACATTTATTGGAGGATATCAGTCTTTTATAGAGCTTGTTTGGGAGAGATTTTTGGGGGAAGAATTGATTTTGAATAGTGATATGATGGGAAATGTGTGGTTGAAAAAGAAAAAAATTATTGATGTGATGGAAAATATTATTTTATTGAAAAATGTGTCTCAAAATCAGAAACAAACACCCCCTTAATGCTTTATTTGGTTTACATACTAAAATATCCAAGAAAATCACATAATTGACCAAACTAACACTATATGTCCAGAATATTGAAATATGGCAACAATGTTTGTATATCCCCAAACCTATTGACAAAAATAGCACTTTCTAGAGAGAGTTTTAAAAACAGCACATGGGTAGAAATCTGCTTGAAAATTGGGAATGAATAAGGCAAAATAAGTAAAATTAAACCTCGAATCCTTGTCCAACTCTAAAAAATCATAATTATGTCTTTAATATCATATTAACACAAGGAAATCAAAGGATAAATCTCTATTCCACATATTCATAACCAAAGTTATACTTTATTCAACACCAATTCCCCAATATACATCTCTTTACTATATACTTGTTTAATACTTCAAATACGACATGTCAATAACCTTTAATTTTTGCTAAATCTCAAATTTGGGAAATTTTTCCATAACCCAAAAAAAATTAAAAAAAAAAATCAATATAACCTCTCTAAATTAAAGGAGAATTTGAAGAAATGGAGAACCCAAACTTGAAAACCTACTTCTTTTTCTATCCTTCTTCCCTTTTTTCCTTTTTTTCTTTTCTTTTTCTCTTCTCCTCTTCTTCTTGATCCTTCTCTCCGTTTTCATATGTAAAATGAATCCATTTAATTTATTTTAATAGATTAAGATTGTGTAATTGCAAGTCAAGTCCTTAATCTTCATATAACATATTAAGTCCTTGCATTTTCAAAAATAGAAACTAAATCCCTAGATTCCTTTATTATATAATTTCTAGCCCGCAAATACTTCTAATTACAATTTAAGTCTCATGAAAGTCATTTATTCAATCTAAGTCCTTATTTGACTTTGGCTTTGACCAGTTCAATTACTTGACTTTGACTAAATAATTTCTTAACAATAACTAGACATGTAAAGATGGGCGGGCCTCGCGGCCCACCAGTAGGTGAATCGGCCCTCGATTCGGTCCACGAACCGTGTGGGCCAAATCATGGGCCGCCCGCACCTTGAACCAGTCCGGATCGGTTCAAGGTGAACCGCTGGCCCGTTTAAAAAAAATTAAAATTAAAAAAATTGTTAAATTTGCGCCTGCAGCCACAGGCTACAGTCTACAAGCCTGCAGCATCAGAACGATCATTTGACCGTTCTCAATTTTTTTTTTTTTTTATGTAACGGTAAAAAAAAAAATTTTGTATAAATTGTGGAATTGTGAAGTGAAAAAATTCTAAACT